CTGCTGCAGGCTGGTCACCTGAGAATCAACTTGTAAAGAAATCGATTTTAAGTTTAAGAAACAAAGAGTAATTGAATAATGGTTTTGAAAAGTTTCGAAGGCCATCTTGCCTTTACCAAAATTTAAGAGAACGTGGCGAAGAAACCAATGAGGTTTGGTCAGGTCCAAGACTATCCTGACCAATTGAATCGTTCTCAATTATGCCCAGGCCGGTGATCTTAGTGATTGTGCAGAACTTTAGTCCTCTGGTAATTTATAATAAAGTTGACAGGTTACCTGCCAAACGTACGACCTGGACTATGGGAAAAGATCACGATCGTGCTCTTCGGAGAGGAGAGATTGTGCATACGTCCGGTTTTCATATGGTTTGTCCGAATTCAGTGACTGTACCAATCTTGGCGCCTCGCAATTAGGGCGAATGGGTAAAACAAATTTTGGCAGATCAATATATCTAATAGAAAATTCTTATATGATTGTGAATTACACAAAATAAAAAAAAAATGAAAGTTACAATTATTTTCAATTAAAATAACTATCAATTGAAGATTTTTTTTGTTTTAGATATTTCCTAGCCTCGCATTCGTCACCATTAAATTTACCTTTTCCTTTCTTCGCTGGGTAAATTTGGAAAGGGCGTTTTCACTCTAAAAACCGCATCAGAAGTTTCCTGTTTAAACTGGAAAAATGGATGAAATCTTTTCTCTTCACATTAAAACGATTACCATAACTGCTGGTATAAACGCTCGACTGCATTTTTAAGTGCTCCTGCATGTATAATAACATTGTAATTGTGCATCATTGATACCTTGCGGCATGATATTCGTTAGTGAAAGTGGAAAATTACGTGTCCTTGATTAAATTTCATCAAGATGTTTTTAATATCAGTGAAAGTTCTTGTATAATTTAGAAGGTTACCTCAGGTCTAAAGAACAGCTTCAGGGCCTTCTTAAAATTAGAATGTAGATGGAGCTGTCCTAAATTAACGAATTTCCGGAATAGTGAAAATTCATTTTGACTGACGATCACTTCCAAGAGAACTTGAATACTCTCTCTCATGGCACTTTTCAAGCCGATAAAAGCTGTCGTTGACTTTAAGTTTTCCAACTGGCCCCCGAGGGCCTCTCAACCTTGACTTGTTTATCAATAAAGAGGCTGCAGGAAAGAATAATTTTCATGTAGCCGAGTTTCTCTCAATTACTAAAATTCATTATATGGCAGTAAACATCAAAATATATTGTCAATGATTTCCCGGTTCAAACCTTAAATCTGCAGTAGTATTGCAAAAAATCAAATCTGTTGGCCATTTTGGATTAAACAAAGAAGACAAGTTTTGTATGACGCGAGCCTTGCGTTTGCACTCCGATAGATCATCACTGATAGGGGCAAGGAAGAATCACAGAGCGGGTATTTACTCCATGGTATAACGGCTAAATGGATAATGATAAAATAGCGGAGAAAGGAGTGTATTCACGCTGTTATACTTCTCTTGAGCTTCAATGGTTGAAAGGCTCACTGAAGTTGTTAGTTATTCACTTGAAAATATCCATTTAAAAAAATTCTCTACTACTGTTATATGAGTCAATTGTACTATCTCTTCGATCAAATGAACACATTAAAACAGTTTACAGAGATGACAATCGCAGCATTCATAAATAATGGAAAAAAAAGCCTTGACTCGTTCGTTTAAAGGTCTTTGTTTTACTGATCTCTTAACGAAAAGAAGGATTTATGAACATGTTCAGCTTCAAAAAACCAAAATGTAAACAGGCCGTCATATGGTTTTAGATACAATTCATAGTTAGTAGGTTTTTACTCTGTGTAAACCTAGTCCTTAAAACTTCCGCTAAAGTACATCTTGAGTTAACAGCACACAAGTATGCATGTCCTTCGGAGATTTCGGTGATTCTTAGATACACGCACACGTACAGAACTAGACTTATTTTCACCTAGGGTAGAACTTTTGATCGAAGTTCTTGCAACACTGATCCATCATAGAAAAGCTAACGAAATCAAACTGTGCAATGGCTCACAGTATCTTCTATGGCTCATGGCAGCCACACGAATGAAATTAACCTATACAAAGTTTTCTTCACGATTCAAATGACTCTCTAAGGCTTATACCAAATTCACACTTAGTCAACGAAGTGACAGCCAATCTAATGAAACAAAAATATATCCCGGTCCGGCATAGCCTCAGAGCACTGAGGCTTTGAATCGCTCTGCAATTTGTCAACCAAGATAGTCTACAGGAGATTTTTTAAGATGCAAAAAAGAAATTTAAAAATTCGATTAAGTAGCATCATTCAATGGAAGAATAGAGCTCTTTTCGTTTTATCATCAGTAAAATCTTGATATGCATGCCTAATACATTTTATGCAAAACAAAATGTCAATGTATTATCAAAACCTTGGGAAAAGATAATTAGACACCGATTAAAATCAAATATAAAATTGTTTGTACTTTTCTTTCTTCTCTTTTTCATTTTCCTCCAGTCTGAACTGTTATGATCACTTTTTACCTTATCACTGTCGCCTTTATCTTGAACATGTTATTCTATGGAGAATTTGAAGCTTTTCACTTTCATTCTAACCATCAAAACCCATTAACTTTATTAAATTAATAGCGCTGAGAAAAACACTTTTTAACTGAACTAGATGATTTTTATAGTTGCTTAAAGTACACTTCTAAAAAATTGCTAATAGAAAAGTTACGTTAACTTGCTTCCTAAAAATACGGATATCAACTCTATGTTCGTACACTTCAAACAAACTATCTTTAACACTTACCCTCTAAGAAGTCAGGTGCGAAAGAAGCCGCAATTTACCCTTATTGGCGACGTAGCTGTAGGCTGGTTATATAGCGTCTCAAACGTGTGATTGTAATACAATAAGTCATTTATGAACTCCGAGAGCTAAAAGCGACAAATGAAATATTGCTAGTTTTAATTACTTCACCGGAAAAATTGGATCTTGGTCGCTTCCGCGAAGCTTTGCAACTCAATCAGTGTTGCCGAATGTTTTATAACTTAGTGCAGGCGGCTTAATATTGTATTGTAAACATAGAAAAACTGAAAATTTCACAAATCATAGATATCTTTTTTTCTAACAGTTTCAAATGGAGATGAATTTTCTGGTTTGGTTTAGCTAAATTTGCATAAGGGGGAAAACACTATTTGATCTGAACTTAACGGATAGAATTTTCGTCTGCCTCCATATTTACGAAACTGAGATTTCTAAAGGTTTTAGAAAATGAGAATGATATGACAGTTAAACCATCGTTTTTAATCCTTCGAGATCTCATTAAAGTAAAGGTGTCTTCAAATTAAAGATTTATTGCTTGATAATCGAGGAAATTAATCAGACTAAAATAATTTCATAACTTTTGCGATAAATATCGAAGAATTGGTGACAAGAAATTCAGGTCCTCGCAATATTAATTTTGTAAACCAAGAATCATCATTTCCGTGTCATGAGGGAAATAAAGGAAACATAAAAAAAAATTATATTCTATTGGACTGATGGCGGTGGAATCAGTAGCGACATAAATATAAGATAGTAATTGATAGGAAAAACTGACAGATATAAATTTCTTACTCGTGCAATTAATTGTTGCACTTGGTGCGGTGTATTTTTTTCTCCAGTTTCTTCATATTTCATGTTCAAGAGTACTCCAAGTTTGATTTTTTTTTTCATTTTTTATTGCGAAATGTGATGGCTATAGTAATCGCTTGAGCAGATAGAAGAAGGGTCTAGAAGATTTTATGTTCAAGAGCACTCCAAGTTTGATTTTTTTTTTTTTTACATTTTTCATTACGAAATGTGATGGCTAAAGGTGCTTTGCGTTATCGCCTGAGCAGATGGGAGGAGAGTCCAGAATATCAAGACTACGATTTTCATCATAATGATCCATTGTCTTTTTTGCCTGCATCAAGTTTTCAATTGTGCACAGCATATCCTTAGATGAGTAAACACTAACTTTGCGCTCAAAGAGGCAGGCATCTCCTCTCTTTACGACAGGAGAGCATCTCTATCGTTTGATCTTTTTAACGACATTGTTCTTGACATTAATCACAAGCTCGCAGGTCTGCTCCCACCTAAAGCTGAGCACCACAGGCAGCTGCGCAGCAATAGGAAGTTTAACGTGCCAGTGTGCAAGACTGATCGTCTTAAAAATCTTTTGTTGTTAGCCATAGCCTAAGGATGTTTATATATATGTTTAAGTATGTATATTTTCTTAACACAAGATTATCAGTCCTAAGTGAAACGTTTTTATTAGATTTGTATATTTTTATTATTAAGATTTTCAAACCATTTTAACAATGAATTTTGTTTCTTGAATATTATACACGTAATTCAGTCTTCGGACTGCGAGGTGTTTCTTTTTAATAAAGATTTATCTATAAACGATTTATCTATCTATCTTTAAAACTTAAAGTACAACAAAAAAACTGGCTTACTTTAAAGACGTAATGCAAGGGGGTAAATGACTATGGACTAGCATTCTATTCAGGTTTAGTAGCAATACTTTTAGCCGCTTCATGGTCCAAAAATCTTAATTGTTGACTTGACCTTATCCAGCACTTACAATAAAGCATTTTCTGCTAGTGTGTAACTCTGTCCGGTGTACGTATGTTTTTACATGTACAGTCCGACTCAAACTCCAAACGTTTGCAGTATTTTGCTTTTTTGTTTAGTTGGTTCGCTGATGGCTCCTTTATACTCTCTTTAGAGTTTTACATTTTCAATCTAAAATGATTCCCTTGAATTCCCTATTTCACCGAATTATTATGAACGTTCACTGCTGGCAATGTTGGCCGTCACTTGATGTAGGTCTGTTTAAATAAATCACGCACCTAAGGTTTTTTTTTCGAGTACGAAGATTCAGAACAAAGTTACTTTGAATTCTTATGAGATTGTCTTTTACGAGGTACCCAAGGATTTAATATTAAAGAAGTACATAGTTGAAATCTCACCCACTCAAATATAATGATGCAAACGATGCATTTTCTCACAAGCTACATTAAGTTCTTTAATGCACTCACTAAGTATCTATTTACAAAAGATTTTACCTATTTGTAACATAAGTAAGCTCCCCAAAAGAGGGAGGGCGTGGCTCGATCTAAATGGTGCCCCTTTGTTCCTTGCCAAAGTGATACGAGTTAAATTGTACAGGAAATAGAAGGAGAGAAATAAAAAACATGCATGTAAAACTTCCTTAACCGATTTTGAAGGGCTCGGAAATAGAATATGATATGCATTTTTTGGGTACAACAGTACACGAGGAATGAAGAAAATGCTGAAAAGCGAGTAGTTCTCTTTAAAACACATCGAAGAGATCTTATCTGTAATTGACTCACTAGTATTCTTCTGATTTTGTGTTATCATTCTTTAAAAAAATGCATCCAGTCTCCTTTTTATTCCATGTCCTGTGTATACAAGTCTTCGAGAAATACAGAGAAATAAGTCATTGCATGACTGTTTGACATCTTTTTTGATGTGTCAATTGTTATAATCCTGTTGTGGGATGTAGATGTGTCCAAGAAACATTGAAACACTGTAACATTTGTAGTGAGTTATTTGGATTTTGAAGATATTCATGAAACATTGACTTGTTAGAGAATATCTGATACAAAGAATTGATTTCAGTTAACCAATGCAAAATAACATCTGTTATTTCACTGGATGTTTTTGTACCTAAAGATGATGATGGTGACGATAACAATATTAATTACGATGGGTGATGATGACGATCATAAGTGAACCGAACTAAGTTCGTTCTTCATCTATACATCAACTACTTTATAAAACATCGGGTTTCGTTTATGATTAAATGTCATTCTCACTTCCTTTGATAAACGACGATTTCCTGAAACGCAATAATAGAAAGAAGCTACATTAATCAAAAAAGAGATTCAAATTTAAAAATAATAAAAATCCTCAGAGTATACACTTTTCGTTCGAGTGATAAGATTGTCAGTTTTTTTTACCTCTAAACAATAGCAATGCACCACACTTCGGTTGACAGTTTTACTGTTTTCCTTGGGAGCAACGTCCTTCTGAGAATTGGATATCATCAACTGCGATGTCTCCAGTGTATGAGGAACCAACCGTTCCCACAATTGCTATCTGGTTTTGAGAAGAGACAAAAACGTTACGGCGCGGTTTTTCTGGCTTTAAGACCGATGTATAAAGTCGTCAAGGAACTTTCGGTCATACCTGGGAAAGAGAAAGGTGTTACTCCTCCCCTGTGGGGGAACTTTATGATCAGTCGTCGCCAACAAGGTATAAAAGGGACTATAGAAAATGGACTACAAATTAACTGCCAATGAGGGTGGGAAGGGGGGGAGGGGTGATTAGAATATTAAAGCCCTGGGAGTAAATTTTTACATGATAGAACCGGTTTTCTTCGACCTGGCCCCAACGCCTCCTCCATGCTCTTAAATCAAATTAACCTATGCAAAAGGGTGCTTTGATTCTCACTCAGCTCACCATAAATATAAATCATTCTAAGCAACATATGGCAATCTGCGGTCTTTCCTTGCACTTAGGTAGCAAGGAAAGCCGTAAAAATCTTGAACAAAAGCTCATCTTTCAAACCGGCAGTCTAAATCCCACAGGGATCAACGAACGCTTTTCATTCCACTAATTTATTCATGTTTTTCTCGTTGCCATGTTCCCACCAATAACGTAGCTCCATTTTCTGCCTTTAAAAGCACACACAACCCACAATTCCTCTATTCGCTCCGACGAAGGGCTAACGCTCGAAACGTCAGCTTTTGTAATCGTTACGGTGGCCAATTTACCATTTCAACTTAGTTGATATATCCAAATTATCACCAAAAATATGACTTACCCAATGAACGGTACCCTGTCGCACGGACCGTCGCACCTCCAGGTCAACATTAGCTTGCCTCCAGTGATCCTTTGGCACAGTATTCTTTCTATTGGCGATCCACTCTCTATGTTCTCTCAAATTAAAATCCTTTGCACTCGGCTTTTGATCATCCTTTACTTGCTTGACAATCCGCATGATTTCCAGCGAACCTATAGCCNCGACGAGAAAAACATGAATAAATTAGTAGAATGAAAAGCACTCGTTGATACCTGTGGGATTAAGAGTGCCGATTTGGAAGATAAACTTTTGTTCGAGAGTTTTGCGGCTTTCCGAGCCACCTAAATGTAAGGAAAGACCGCAGATTGCCATATGTTGCTTAGAATGATTAGGTAGATTAAAGTGTCTAGCGACGTGGTTTAGATGCGTCCTTATCATTCCTTTCTACGTCGCAAATGTGTTCTCGGAATCGGTCACCTAGTCGTCTTCCTGTTTCGCCGATGTAGATCTTTTTGCAATAAGTGCAAGTTTTGCAATAGATGACGTTGGCGGAGGTGCACGTGAAGTGATCGGTGATCTTAATGGATCGTTTGGGTCCCGATATTTTCTCAGTATTGTAAATTTATTCGTGTTTTTCTCGTTGCCATGTTCCCACCAATAACGTAGCTCCATTTTCTGCCTTTAAAAGCACACACAACCCACAATTCCTGTATTCGCCCCGACGAAGGGCTAACGCTCGAAACGTCAGCTTTTGTAATCGTTACGGTGGCCAATTTACCATTTCAACTTAGTTGATATATCCAAATTATCACCAAAAATATGACTTACCCAATGAACGGTACCCTGTCGCACGGACCGTCGCACCTCCAGGTCAACATTAGCTTGCCTCCAGTGATCCTTTGGCACAGTATTCTTTCTATTGGCGATCCACTCTCTATGTTCTCTCAAATTAAAATCCTTTGCACTCGGCTTTTGATCATCCTTTACTTGCTTGACAATCCGCATGATTTCCAGCGAACCTATAGCCGAACCGTGCATGTGGTACCAGAAACTCATACAGAAAGATCGACCGTCAAGTTTGACAAGAAGCATCGCTTTGTCGCCTTTTTTCCTGGGACTGGATGTTTCAATATACATGTACTTTCCATCTCCCTTTTTGCCTGCAAATTAAAGTATTTCAGAGTTAAGTATGAAAAAAAGTGTAAGTGTTTGACTTGCTAATAACTGTTGTCCATAGAAAAGAAATTTCAATGAGTAGCAGGTAGGATTGTAATTCATAATTTGGCGTAAAAAGATGATCTCTGGTTACATAATCTTTCTTCAGAATGTAGAGCTATCTAACACAAAATCTTTATGCTCTTCAGAAAACTTTTTTGTGTGGAGAATGCCCTTTTGCCAAAAAATGAGATAGAAATACTTGACTGTAATATCCTATATGGAGACCTTACAAAGGGTTCAAACAGAGTCATTATGTTTCAAAAACGTTCCTAAAGCTATCCTAGCTAAGGGATATATAGAGGCTGAGGGTGTAGATGACGACTTAGTTTCGAATACTTAGAACCGAGCAGGACGTGGCAAATAGGAGAAAGAGCCTACGGTTCAAGAAAGTTATACCCCATATGGTTTTACCTCATTCAAAAGCGCGCGTACGCGTGTGTGATGTTGAAGAGAACTGGTTAATATTAGGGCGATGAGTCGATAGTTATGATGAAGATAACGGAAAAAATAAACAAAGGAATATAGTTATTTTTTATCATACTCATAAATAGGGAGGTAATCTTGTGATGTAGTTTACCTGGTGTATGATCACGAGATGGGCCGGTCTGGGAAGATGGAGTTCTACCACTGTGGCTCGTCCAATCAAACTTGTCATCCTTCATATTTATCCATTTGCAGGAACCATCCTCGAAATCACAATTTCCTTTACGAGAAAAGAACAAAAAAACTAAGCAATTGTCGACTGTATTCGGCTTTCTATACTAAAATTGGCTCCATATCGATGCTAGGAAGGTAAAGGTAACGAATCCCCAACATAGTCTCTGCGATTGATCTGTCATAAGTACTTCCAAAATAAATGACTGTGACTCATTTGTTTCACTCTGACAAAAGCAAACATTCAAACTAGTCTGATTTTGTGCGATTTACTGATTGCGACGCTAAAACTCTTTCCCTTGGAAAAATTTTTTCAACTAAAATCTTCATGTAACACGAAAAGAGACATCAACTTATATTTGTTTTGCGTTTCGGCCTTAAAATGAATTATTACACGACTCGGGCAGTCAGAGGGCCAATAACTAAAATCAAGCAATCAAAATGCTCTATTGCCGGTCAATATTCTCTCCGTATTGGACCGGGCACTGTCCCGAATGGTCCCGAATGATACCGCACTTGTGTCCCTGTGAACTTCAGTCGTATAATAAATCTCTTATTAACCAAGCTTGCTCGGGACCGTACTGGAAGAATATCGGCTCTCGGTCTTTTTTTGTACGGACCTCGCTGCGCTCGGTCCGTTCTGTTAAGACCTCGGGCAGATATTCTCCCAGTACGGCCCTCGCGCTTGGTTAATAAGATATATCTATTTGCGAGTAGAACACCAATAGCTTTACAATGCAATTGTACAGTTATGACTGTTGGTGAAACGGCTCTTGCTGGACTTCTTTTAGTCTGTCTATAATCGATTGATGACATACTTAACCAGTTTAGTCAGTACCACTCTTAGATAGTAAAGGACGAAATTTCCAAGATTTAATACTAAGCGCAGCCTAAGTGAATTTACGGTGCAGGAACAGCATATAGCTCCGGAACACTCACCTTCTTTTGGGTTTGCTCCCCCGTCTTTCAGAGCAGAGCTAATTTCCACGTGGCATTCCTCAAGCTCACCGACACTAACCTCGTCAAGTGAAATGTCGCCAAGATACGAATCGCCCCGAACACCCACAAACGACACCTAAAAATGAGTTGCAGTCATTTAAGAATAGCCTTTGTTATCAGGACTGCGTGACTTGATCAGATCTCCCATAACTGTACGTACTTAGGTCGATGTCTTAGTCTCGAAGATATTTTAAGTCTCTAGGATGTTTTCCACGCGTTTAGTATCTAGTGTAGAGCACGCAGTTTCTTCAGCTTTTTTTTTCTCACTAATCTTCATTTGCCTGTTTGTTTGCTTATTTGTTTTTGTATCTGGTTAATTTTTATCATCCTTTTTCCAATTCCGATTTTTTTTTTATCGCGCCACTATGAAATGAACAGTGAACGTCTATCATGTCCGAATGTTATCCAGAGACGCGGTTCTAACAAAAAAACAAACAGTTAATTAGGTTGCGAGACTGTTTTCTACTCCAGCCTTGAAGGTGCCCCACAATAAAGTGATTCTTATGTTAGCTTCGAATCACTTAGCATCCTCTGTTAAATTACCGTGTAATGTTCCCCACTGAAATTTTGTGAGGCAAAGTGCCAATAGTCTTCCTGTTCTCCTGTAATTGACCAGACGACCTTAGTTGAATTATCTTTAAGGTTTCGCTGCTCCAGCCGCAGCTGATTGATGTCTTTACCATACATATGGTAGTGGAAATGCAGGCACACTGGAGAAAAAAACTCTTGACTTTCCAGACGGATCCTTTGCCCTTTAAGCAGATTCGAGGCTTCCATGTGGACGTAGTATCCTAAGTAGGAGAGGTATATATTAAGTGAGCCTTTCTGCTTTTAAATTAGTCACAGAAGGTACTAGACCCTTTCACTCTCAAGATCAATTTATCAATTCTCCGAACTGTCTGACGTGCAGTTTGTATAATGTGAGTTCAGAGAATATGGTCTTTACAAAATACGCCTTTTGATATGATATCCCTTTCTTCTCATTACCTATCTGCTTCAAAATATATAGATATGTCAGGAGAGTCACTTCAGAGATTGAAAGAGTTAAAAGGATTGGCATAGATTACCTGCAGTATATACTGGGATCGTGCTTCAAATCGAGGGCAAAGTTCTTTTTAGAAAAGAATTATTTGATGGTGCTCTATTCATGATTAAAAAGTCAGACACTGATAAAGAAATTGGAAGAGCCGAGTTAAGGACTTCAAGACCAAAATAAAGGAGCTTTCTATTTGGACCGTTGTTTCTCTATTGGTTTAGATGAAATTTCCCCGAAAGCATACTACTGCTTCAATTAGAACTCAGTTGTGAGGATCAACTCTTGACTTGTTATCAATAGGTCAAAATGCAATTTCCTCAGTTTTCTTGTGTGTAAATGACGAATGCGCAACATTTTTTTTTTACCATTTCCGTCGCTATCGTAATGAGGCCCGGTTCCTTCTGAGGGGGTGTCACTATTAGCAAGATGCCATTCTCCGTCATCGTCAAACACATTAGTCCAGTCACAGAAATTGTTGTTGAACGTACAAGTACCTGTGGTAAACACATAAAAGAAAACATGGACCACTGAAACGAAGTACATTCTCTTACAATGTTAATGAATAAAGATGCTAAGCAGGAAAAGCAAAATATCATTAAAGTTGACATGATTGGCTGAAAAATTGGTACCTGGTTTCTTGACCAATTACTTTAGTACTGAGCGCATTGATGTAAGACCAAAGTAGTCCCAGATTACTTTCGACACTCGATTCAAAACTATTCTTAGATAAATGCAACTGGTTCTTACTGAAAGGTGGTGGTAGAGGAAGTATGTCTGGTGGAGTTGGTGTAGTAGCACGCGGCCGTGCAGTGTTAGTTAAGGCCTGTCTAGGACAGCCTCCTGGGGTAAACTGGAGCTCATCAATCGCAATATCACCTCGCCATCCAACCACAGTCGCCTCTATTTCTACCTGCGTAAACAGAAAAAATGGATGTAAATGTTGGGCTTGAGGCTTGATGGCATCTTCTTTCTTGTGCAGTGCTAAAGAAAATGAGTGGACAGATAAGGATATGAACAGATTCTGGACAAATAATGGATGAGGTCCAAGCTTTGGAATTTTCTGGTCATCGATGGATAATCTCCCCAAGATGTCTGTGTTAAGGTTAACCTCACTCCAATATCTTGAGCTAAAGCAAGATGTTTTCCGAAAACACACAGATTGACTTTGTCGATGAAAAAGGAGAAATGGTATTTCTTGAGCAAAAATACGCCGTGCGGACGTTTAAAACTGAAAATGATTTTGGCCGCCGAGTCTACATCTTGAAGGCAACACTGAATTTTTCACTTTCTTTTCTCGTTTTTCTTGCCTTTGGTCATTTAAGATTGGGCTGAATTTTATAACATTTGGAGGACGACAAAATACATTTCATCTCAACACTTACCTGGTATTTCGGTATTTTACAATCAAGGTCAACTTGGCCATTCAGCCATTGGTCTCCATGGTTACCAGCTTTCTTCCATATAAGGAATCCTCGCCTGTAAATCGACAAAGACCCGACGTCTTCCCCGTGCATGTGGTATTTGAAGCGCATACATTGTTGGCCTTCTATCATGTCACTGACCAGTACGGCTTTATCACCGTTCATCTGAGGCTCAGAAGCTTCAATATAAGCGTATTTCCCTAGGAAATACATACATGACCTTCAGAATGAGTAAAACAAAATCAAAGGAGTGTACAAACTATTTCAAAGTATGTACTAAATAAGTTTCAGCAGAATACACTCTTTAACCTTGTTCTTATCACCCTTTGGAGTATTAGATGTTGCTAAAAATTGAGGTTAAGATACTTGCGATCATGGAAGAACAGATAGTTGTCTATTAGTGATTTTCTGCTGCTTACCATTCCCCGAAGCATCAGCCATAGGCCCGGTTAATCCACCACTTGATTTTCTACTGCTAGTCTCGCCACTTCCAATGCTCCAAGAAAAAGATGATTTCATGGATTGCCTCCAGTTGCAAAATTTTCCTTGGTCAAAATCACAGTTTGCTGAAGTGCGGAAAGAAGACTGATCAAAACCCAATATAATCACTTATTTAAAGATGGCGGGAAAAGCATATCGTGGTAAAAATATTTATGAGGTTCACAGGCATTAAAAGTCTAGATAGAGATAGAGAACGTAGGCAGTTTTTCCAAGGAGTCTCGGGAAGCCCAAGCAAAATTAAATTATCTGCCCACTAATCTGTACGGAAAACGGATGTATTGACTGAGTGACAGTTGCTCCCCTATTTGAAACTGATTGGTTTAAAGAGTGGCACTAGTTTCACGGACCAATCAAAGAGCGAGTTAAAGAAAAACTGATATATTCCAGCGCTGCTATTGCTCTGTTACGAGAATTACCTTTCGCGGCGTCCTCGGGAGTGCTGATCAGAGGACAACACGTTCCATTTGCTATAAGGAGGTCATCTAAGCCCACTAATGATGTTGTTTGGTGAAGACGGGCCTCAAATACAAGCTGTGTAAGACAAATTAGAATAGCATTTTGATAAATAAATATATCTTAACATTTTTGCCTGACAGCTCATAGGTTGTACTTTAGGCCTGACTCATTTCTGCTTTATGGATTTTTTATGCGTCAGTTTGAGGGGAACCAGAAAGACGAAAGGTGTGTCCCATCAATCAGAATGAATTTCTTATCACCTTAAAACAGGTGGTTTCTTCTGCTTTTATTTCAACCACGGCCCGTGTCCAGTCGTCCGTTTTCTTTCCAAGCCCAGATTCAAACCAAACACGATCCTCTCCTTGGTCTTTGCCAGCCAACAATCTGAGTTCGCTTTTTTGGAAGTTATTGGTGAAGTAAAACAGCTCGACACACTTTGTGCCACATACTTCTGGAGACACCATTCGATATTTAGATGGTTTTCCTTGTGATTTCATTGCGTAAACATATTTCCCCCCTGTTAAAAAATTTGAGGTAATAAAGCGCTTCAGTGGTAAATGATATTCTTCCACAAATAGTCAGCCGTTCTCCAACGGAAAGTTGAAAAACAAAATGTTGTCTTTCATTTTCATCGTCATTGTCTAGCAAAGGCAAAGCAGACAACTAAAAGCGAAAAGTTTCTTTCAGGCATGCGTTAAAACCACGATTAAGAATGAAACTGCGTGAAAAGGCAAAAAGAATTGAGATCAGCCTAGAAACAGAGCAGTTACGACGTAACCGTCATTATTTTAGAGATGAACAAGGCAATCTTTTCAGTTTGAACGACAAAATCCACATTATCATGCTCCATTTCTCGTTTCAAACGGTGAAACAGCAGAGGTCTCTTCTTAATATGTAAGTCGCCTCTCTCCCCGAGTGAGTTAGCGAGCGGAGGAGGTGGCTGAAATTCAGGCTACTTAATATGCGAGTCAGTTACGAATTCTTCCATATCTTCGCGTCATACCTAGATTATTTCCATGATCTAGTCTGCCAACAGCTGAATCCTTTTTGCTCTGACCTCGTCCTCGGTAAGAACTCAGCATCCATGGACTTGTATCACTATTAGTCAAGTCGTTTGCCCAATCACACAATCCCATGTTAAAGGAGCATTTTCCTTGAGGTAGAAAATGGTTGTTATGATCAATTTAAATTAAACGCTATCTTTGAAATATACCCATATCTGTTCATTAAAAATGCCGAACTGGACTTCTGGTGATCCAAAAAAAAGAAACGCAATATTAATTTTTAATTTTGTCTGCGACCAGAAAACAAGACTCTGCTCAGTTGACACATAGGACGAACGTAGATGTTAACGCTTTGAGGAATAATTAAATTTCCTTTCCTTTTCTTGTTTGATCTTGTTATCTATTTGTTTTGTTTGCTTGTTTGCTATACGTCTATTCCCTAAAGGTTCGGCGTCTTCAAAGAAACGTTACCTACATCAAAACGCAACAGCAAAGCTATAACTGTGGATGAATGCAAGTCGGGAAATTGAGTTGCTAAACTTTTCCCGTTTCCCATTTTAAAAACATTATTTAGTTAACAGGAGAGGCAGATAACAGTGAAATTATGCAAATCCATGAGCCAACTAGAAATTGTCTTAACAAGGTAGCTTGGTCACCGTAAAGAGTTTCAAAGCTGACGTTTCGAGCGTTAGCCCTTGGTCAGAGCGAAATATGTCTTAACTTTGAAAAGCGAAAAATGTTCAGCTCCTTGGTAGGAGAGGCACTGATCAAATACTGGATTCTAAGTGGCCCAAAGACTTCTCGTTGACAGTGTCTCAATATTTTACCTCCTGATTCAGTCGAGTTTACTTCAAATGCCAAATTTTCACCGCGACAAGAGCCCTTTGTAAAATAGATGTCATCAATACCAATGTCGCTGGTGTAACTTTTTCCAACGACGGCCTCAATTATCACCTGAGAATAATTAGCAAGAGGGTTATTTATGTGCAACCTTTCCATGGTTATCTTATTATTCTACTTTTAATCACTCTTCTCTTGTGAAGAGTGTTTGAATCAGTTTTGGAAACTGAAGAAATGAAACTTTTGGAGACCTATTTCATGATTTTAACTATTCGTGATCAAAACGTGACATTTAATTTCTTCAGGAATATTTATGGCTGCTTGAGTTCGCAAAGGTAGAGCAAAAAGCGAAAAATTTAAGGCCGAATACTTTATTCCAAAGTAAAAAACATGGGCGGGAAGTTGTCCACACGCTGTGAAGGGTATACGCGGGATCATTTCTCGAAGGAAGGGAACCAGAACTCTCTCTCAGTGTTAATTTTACATATATGTGTGATTGCAAATAGAGATAAAATAACAATCCAATCATGAAAGAAAATACAAAAAAAAAAATAATAAAAATACAACATTCCAACCATGTAGTACAAACTTTAGGTTTGAGATCGTTGATCAATAGTTAGGAATGAAACAATGATCGATGTGAGTCTGCGCTTACTTTTTTCAGGTCCAATTCTGCTGTGAATATTATAATAGGTAGACGCGAAAGTCTTAGCAGATGTGAGTAACTGATCATAGAGCGCAATATTAGGGAAGTTCAATAAACCTGGTAAAGTTCACATAGGAGTCAAATTAATTTAAGATGTAAATAAAATGTAATTTTTTTTGTCTAATGCTACAGTTTCCTACACCCATAAAAACTGAAACACATTACTTCTGCTTTATATACTTCGTCATTGTAAACGTTTCTCAAAGAAAGTCGGAACAAAATTTGATTTTCTAACGACTTACATAGAAGTTTTTTCCATACAAAGTTGCATTGTCAGAGTGCCAATCTGCACCGCGCTGTTGTCCATCCTTGGACCACATATTCAGTTCCATACCGTGGAGAACATGATAAATGTTCAATTGTCCTATAGAACTTCCAATCATGCTGTATGAGAAGTGAAGACAAAGTACGCCACTAAAAGGACCGTGAATGAGCCGGGCACGGTCCCCCATCTTCCGGGGAGACGACGACTCGATGTATGCGTAGTGACCTGTCATGATATGAAGAAGAAAAAAAAAGGACTCAAGCACTAACTCAGGTTCTCTTACATTAATTTTTTTTTTTTTATGTAAAATCGAGCCAAAGGCAGTTATCAACTAAGGCCTCGAAAGAAATTTTTATGTCTATCAACTCGGGAACACTATTTTTTGGAGGGCAGGAACATTAACAAATTCTTGAGGCCTGAAAAAATAAGGATTGCTTTACCGAAGAGAAAATAATTTCAGCATAGAATTTGGTGAAGTAAACCCATCTTCGAATTTTTTTCAGACATCATTTTAACCATCTTCATCACTCACTGTGTAAAAAGTTTGAGCCAGCTACAATGTATTTCAGCTTTCAGGACTGGTCAACTAACCATCTGTTGACCTTCTAACCAAGAGCTGGGTGACGACTTTTGAGCGATAAAACAGAGAAGATTCTAAGAAAACTTTGATGTAACTTCGACATGCATCCCTGGTCCGAAAATTTCTTACATGGAGCTTATGACTATTTTATTTCAAGTGTTTCGTATTTATGCATCATACACCCGTATAGTTTAATATAGAACTATGTTTACCGTTGTTTCCAGTATGATCTCTTTTCGGCCCAGTTCCCGCGCTTGGAGTGGTGCCTTTTTGTAGCTGCCAGTTGAAGAAGTTACGGCCTTGAACTGGGCGCCATTTGCAGAATGACTCGGAATCAAAGTTACAGTTTCCTAAAGCAATATCAAAGGGAAATTTAGATCACGTGTTCCTAACCTCCAACAACGAAAAATGATTGATGGGATTATGGTGAATATTCTCCGATATTTTACAGAAGGAGCCCAGCCTGTCTGATCTCGATCTCTCGAGGTTCAAAATACAAACTAGCAAGAGGACAGTAGATTACTTTTGGCATTTCTTCCTGCCTTGTGGGACAAAATTAAAACTCATGTTTGGATTCTGACAAAACTTGAATCTTAACTGATTTAACAAGAATACAGTAAAGAGTACGGGTCAAACTTAAGGGAAATTTTTCGAGTTAGCCCTGAACTTCGCTACAAACCTCAAGCGAAAATTGCGTGCATTGCAAGCTTTCTCTTTATTATTTGCTATAAATACTTTTTGTGTTAATCGGTTGAAGTGTTCCTGGTCATGGCAGTTAAACTGAATTATTATAGGTGTAGAACTTAGGGTACGCCGTACTGCCGTTGCACGAAGTCTCTGAAAATTGATTCAAGGTCACAACCAAGCTATGCAAATAAGATTGTTATAGGACAATCGAAATACAGTGACAACGTACATATACAGCCGATTTGATAAGTCGGAAAGAACAGTACTTCCTTAAAAGATTTTCGAGTTGCGTATCGCGAATTAAATTAACTTAACAACACGACTTCTTCACAATAATAATTCAAATACTTTTTATGTCTAAATTTGAGAGTAACTTAACGTTTTTTAACAGATCAGATAAGAAGCAACACATTAATTATCGTTTGGCTGTCGATAGCAGTCGGAATCCTTGTGTAATATCAATAGGATTTTGAAATCAACACTCTTGAAATTGATGGATTTCAGGAGAAGCAATCTTTTGTTCCATGATGGAGTATCCGTGAAAAATGTTGCTTACATTCACAACAGGAGGAAAAAGGAAAATTACATTCAAATCTAGAAATGTATACCTTGCTGGGATCAGCGAGGAATTTTTCGAATAATGTCCTTAATCATTTTTTAATCACGCCAAAATACAACATTTGGGCAGGAACCCTTTTTTTTTCCGATGGACAGAATCTGTTTTAGCGTTAAATCAGAGCAATCTCTTAACCAAATCCGCTAAGTCGCAAACTTTCAGCCGTTTTGTCATTAATAACAGCCGACCAGAACATGATTAAATAAGTATGGATAACGGTATGGAACGAGGTGACAGCAGTAAAGATTTTTTTTCTCCAGCATCGGTAGAATGAGAAGAATCGGGAAATTGAGGAATCCATCAGTGAAATAAAACTTTTGGTGGCGGTAACTGTTTAAAAGCTGCGTGGCTCCAAGAAAACTATTAAACTAGTGAAAATTTTTTACATCATTCTCTCTTGATAAAGATGGGTGTTTACTAAATTAAAGACGTGATCATTTACTTTGCTCTTAAGCGAACGTCTGCGAACCATATGACCCATATGCTTGAACTTAGTGCAGCATATCAATTATGAGGCACATGTTGAATGCTCTTATTGAGTGAAAAACAAAGAAACCAGCAAATAAAGAGGTGTTATTACGTAATAAAGACAGGTAAAGACAGTCTTGCTGCAGGTGCTGCTTTTACTAAAGAGAAACTAAAGCGGAATGCGTTATTACGTAATAAAGACAGGCAAAGACAGTCTTGCTGCAGGTGCTACTTTTACAAAAGAGAAACTAATAAAAGCTGAATGTTACAAGAGTTGTTCAAAGTTGTCTCTCGAACACTGCGAGAATAACGGAACGAAAGGGAAACGAAAAGGAAGGAATAGACATCTGGAGGCCGTATCTTCGTTTTTTGGCTTCCTCCATCAGGTCTTAGACTTCTTCGCTGCAGTCAGTTAGAATAATCTCCCCGAAAAAAATTTCAAGCTCTTCACTTTTAAGAAATTCTACAACACACTAACACCGATAAAACCGTTTTTAGAAACTGAGATTTCCTTCCATTCATCAGAATTTTCAAGGGAGTTCTTTTTATTTTTGTCTGTAACTAGCTACATCGTATTAGTGAACGACTCATTTACGTATTCTTCAGATTTTCAAACAATCGACTTTTAAACTGATTAAATGGCAGGGATAAATTTCTACGAATTGGTTTTTTTAGAAGAAGACTTACTTTTATTCCTTCTTTTTTAATTGGCAACAACTTCATGTGTTAATTAGTTTGAAAACTGGTTTCACCACTCAAACGAATTACTTAAATTGGTTTTTTTGTTCGACACAGGGAATAATTTAGGGAAGGAATTAAGACTGTACGTAACAAACCTTCGAAGTTAGTGTCCAACAATTTCTTGGGAGCACAAAAGGCACTTGGTAGAAGAGCTACTGAACACAAGCATATCGCCAAATGAAAAAAGGTAAAACTTCTCATTGTCGTTTGGTAAATGCTTCACTCTTCAGACCTCGGCTATCAACTCGAGATGGCGATAAAATAAGCATCGCGAACTGTCTGGTGTCTTAAATCCATATGGGGCTGTTCGAAATCTGAGAGCGACAGTTTGAAGGGTATTGCCTTTCTAATGCAGTTGAGCAATGCTGTTGAAAGACACTTGATATGCCAGTGTGAGTCTAATTTGATTCAAATTAAAGACGTTTTCCTCATTGCGATAACACAATAGAATACTGAGTGACTATATATAAAAACTTGATAAAACTACACTGATATGTATTTTGCATCATATGAGAATCATTTCCGTAAAATTTCTACTGCAAAGGAAATCCTTGAATGAAAAAAGTCTATGAAAAAAGAAATAACATAATTGTTTGTCCGGGGTTGACCTTCGCATTCTCAGAAAACTTGTAGAAACTTAACACCAAATTGCTTTTTTTCCTGTAAGTTCTTGACTCGAATCCATATGGTGTTGGAATTTAAAAAACGTTCTGAAAGTTCTGGGTTACTACTTCTCTGGCAGCAGGAGATGATATATGGACAAAGTTCAGCACGTGTAGCTCTTAGGAAAAACGCAAGCCAAGTATTTTTTATTTTTTAAATAATTTTTGTACAATACATGAGGAATCAAGCGTTACCTGTTCTTTCTCTGTCAAATCCTTAACTTGTGAATAACAAACGAGTTTACTTGGCAGAAAAGCCGTTTGTTAATTGATAGAACACACTAAAAAGATGCACTTGTATAACATAACTTCAACGTAGAGTGCGATCAGAATTAGATCAGATTTCGGTAATTCATTTGTGTGTTTGCTGTGATTAGTGGAAAAGTCGTTCCTCGACGCAATTGTAATCTGTAAGACAGATATTGTAGAGGAACGTCACTACAAGGATAAGGATAACTCAAATAAAGCTTCAAAAAGGAAGAACCGCACATGGTCTTAATCGCCACTATTTTTTCCCTGCAGTGAGCGGATAGAATATAATGATTCCAATTAAGGTATACCACAGAGACTCAATATAAATTCAACTGCATGCATTACCTTAAAGCTACTTGAATGTACACTAGTCCAAATTAGCTTCTAAATGTTCCTTTCATCGGGGCTCGAAGAATTGGTCCAAATTTTGGCAATTTTTTTTTTCAAGCATATGTTACTTCGATCGCTTTTCAGGCTGTTCATAACAAAAAAAAATGTGGTGCTAAGTGTTTAAGTCGTCAAGTTATGCTCGTCGAAATTGACGGATTCAACTTTTCATATCATCCACTCAAATTATGTAAAGGTTAAACAATTGGGTATTCATCTTAAAAAGTAAAAGGGCGATTACGATAAGTCTTTTGTACTTATAGAGCTGGGAAAAATACGAATGCGTCAATGCTGGCTAAGCTTTACCATGACATTGAAGGCTACAAGATCTGCGGGACGTTTACGAATTTGAAATATACTGAACCTTTGCCAAAATATATCTTATGTGATTTCTTCAGAGCATTCCTCGATCACTCTACCAAATATTTTAGACAAAAGGTTTTATAGGAATCCTTATTCTACTTTACTAGCTGTGCGACTTAATTTTCATCAAATAACACTCATTTGTGAAATCTTTTAGTGGCTTTTAATCTATCCCCTTAGCGTCGATTTGCAAATTTGTTTGATTCACCGCATATGTTTTTTGTTGTTTGACGGGTCTGTTTTGCTTTAGGCCAAAAGGTGAAGCATGATTAGCCTTAAGCACATCTTTTTGCACGCGCAATTCATTACACTGAGCATTTGTTCTTATTTAACTCATAAGCTAGTTCGATTGCAGGTGGGAAGATTGCTCCAGGCTAAATGGCGAAAAAATGGCCCTTTTAACGAGTCTGCATGAAATTGTTGCAGTTGGAGAAAGGTGCACGATTGTCAAGGTAAAAACGTGACTGAATTAAGTTACGAGGAGTGCGTTTGGCCTCAGGACCCAGCAGCAATACTTCACATATTCCCTTTGTTCTGAAATCATGAAAGCAACTGATGCTGACCTAAGAAAGGTCTCAGACCTGTAATTGGTGATTGGACTAGTACTGCGAAAAATCTCAAAACGATGATGGCTATAGTTATGAAATAGCAATATACTGAAACAAACAACAGATGATACTTTTCCACTAATTCTTGACCATTGTTTAAAGTTGCCAGAAGAATCTTGAAAGCAACGGGAGTATTTCGGGAAATATCTACCGTTGTTTTGTTTGTCTACTTCTTTTTTTTTTAAGTTAATCGAAGAACGGTAGAATGTTACATTCATAAATAGTCAACATCTTATGCTGTCTTAGCGCTTAACTATGCAAAGTACTTATGCGACTTGGAGAATTATCACTATTTATTTTAACTTTCCGTGGACATCTTCAGTTACAAGTGTTGACAAACAAGTCAATCCAAATAAGTAAACAACAACAGGAGTTTTTTCGATTGCTTGTAGCGAGGACTGCTGCATCGCTTTGGTAATTACGACATAGGAAGTACTTTTCCTTTCCTTGTGTTGCAACCTCAATAGAAATTATGTTACCGAATATGGAATAATATAATCTGCTTTCCAACTATGCAAAATAAGGAAGTATTTCGCTTATTTTGAAATTAAACTGGAATTGTTTCTCCGGAACAAAAACTTTCAATCTAAATCAATTTTAATCACGAACTGATTGGTTGAAGAAAAAGTCTCTCCACCTTTTGCGGCATCATCACCGACCAAAACAAATGATAATACGGAAAAAGAACAGTGGAAAGGCAAAGAAAACAATCTTTAGTTGTATAAGCGAAACCGCAACAGGAATAAAATCTATCATCACCAGCATCACCAGTACTTTTGGTTGATATGTGTTGAGTGCTTGTTACTAAATTACACGGAGAAAATATCCATTATATTTACTTGAGCAGCCCTTTTTTTGTTTTTTGTTTTTTGTTTGTTTGTTTGTTTTTTTTTTGCGATAAGCAGGCTAATTGACTCATGTTATCAATTCATTGAATTTCTCGTTATTCGTCTGTCAGGTGTATGAGGTGACTTCTTTTTTGTAAACCTTGCAATAAAAGGCATAGCTAGTACGTTACAGCGGTGTATCACAAATACTGACGGGTACGTTCTTGCTGGCGCACATCCCTAATTACAACCAAGTTGGAGATGGCACTGACGACGAAACATTTTAAATCTGCCGCATTCCTCCAACATTTGAACACCCGAATTAAGAAAGATTAGGTGTGGCTCGACACTGTTAATAGGACTTAGGGAAGCATCTCAATTGAAACGGAAGAACTTACCTTCTGTCTCATTAAAAGAAACCAGACATATTCCTTGGCTGATAAGAGCCGAAAATGAAATCGCGAAACAGAGATTAAATATTCTGTCACGCATTTTCATGAGCTAAGAGGTTTGCAGATCTTGATGAGACAAAGAAGTGAACCTGTCTGTTCTAATGAAATCAATTGTAACGATTTATATTTATAGGAAAATGCATTGTTTACGGTATTCAAAGCATTAAAAACAATGTTGGCTCTAAACTGATACTGGTGTGAAGGTTATTTGAAGGAAGACCTTAGCTGAAAGACACACTATATGGAACCACTTTGCTATCAGTCGAGTCTGATGATATTTTCACCAGCTATGTAGGAGTTTGAAATGGGAGATACTCTGCTGCTAAATGCCCTGATGATGAGATGCGCTTTTGTGTGGCTCATCAAGCCTTCAAACTTAGAAAAAGATTTGTTAAGTTAGAAAAAAACCGAGGAAAGAAAAAAAGCTATCGCGTGATTACTGAAAAAAAATTTGATCGCGAATTGTAAATGACGAATTAACAAGGCTGGATATTTGAAGGTATATAAACCTTTTTTAAATGAGGAATGTTGATTAGCTGCTTCGTCTAAATTTATCTTGAATATCTCGAAAATTTGGAAACGTTTTATGGAAATCTCATTATATTTCAAACAATTAATATCGTTTAAAAGAAAAGTGACCGCCCCTCACAAATGATCTATTATTGTCTACATTCTTCTCTTCTTTAGACGTTGTCTATGTTTTTTTCATCATGACAGAATTAAATTGTATTGCTTCTTCTGAGAACCCATAAGGCTTAAACTGAGAAAGCATTGCTAGCGTATTGCATTGGCTTAGAGATTCTTAATAATCATGAAGATAATGCGAAGCCAATTTTCTTTATCCACATGCTTTGTGTTGTTTTGTGCCCGTAGATACCCACTGAGTTGATAGATACTAATACTAATATGATGCTTATTCAAACCTTTTGCAGAGAACTGAATTACAGGTTTGTTACAATGAGATGTTGTTAAGGTTGAGAACAGACGTCGGCATTTTCTCAGGCGCCTCTGGCAGCCGCTTCAGTCCATATCGATCTCACCTTCCCAGCCATCCCACCACAGGGGAAGACATCCATCACACAGTAATCTCGTGTGTGGGAAATTAACGTCTCCTACCCCAACTCTGCAGGAGACGGGACCTCTATTTATTCGTCCCTATCCGAGAAGACTAGAATATCTAACCATTTCTTGATGTTGTTATAGAAAGGTAGCAAATTCTTCTCAATTATTTTAAGACCTTGAGTGTTGGTCCGGCCGGGGCTCGAACCCTCGACCTCCCGCACAACAGTCCAGCGCACTATCCATTGAGCTAACTGGGCGGCGGTAAATTGATAAATGTAAATTGGCCACCGTAGTAAATATTTCAAAAACTAATCGCTGTTGTGGTGGTGAAGAGATAAAAATTGGAGATATCGTAAATCTGGGCGCCCTGTGGCTTTAGGCTGCTCATATTCTTTTTCTTACTGTCACGAAAAGTGGCGGCAATTTAGAGAATGAAAAGTAAGCATAGGTTTTACCTTGGAGCGAACTAACTTCTGTGATGAATAAAGTGCGTGAGTTTCTGAAAAAACTATAGTGCTGCGTCAGTGGGGGAGTATGGCAAGATAATTTGGTTTTATCAACTAGGTTGCTAATGTAAATTGGCCACCGAAAAACGTTTCGAGGTGGCTGGTGGGTAAGGAGAGATCGCTTCAAGAAGGAACTCATTAAAAAAAGT